GCAGCACAGGGCTCTGAGTTCTGCTCTAACATCATTAGTAATTCCAGTCTGTTGCAAACACATACCTAGCAGACATTTTTGTCTCTGCAGATGCAACTCAGGAGTCTACTCTTTCAACACTGATATAGGAAAGCAAATGTCTGCTTAGAGAATCTGATACTTCAAAACCTCCATTTCCTTGGCAAAATGAAGGGATGTCAGCATTTGGTACAAGAAAGCATCTCATGGAAGCACAGACATTCAAGCCTGTCAAATGCTCTGCTATTACCATCCTTCCCCCTCCTCTTCCCTAAGTGGGCTGATATCAACACTAACCACTTATTCACCATAAGCCCTTTTACAACAAACACCCTGCCAGAAGCTTTTGTGTCTCTCCAGGTTGCACACTGCCAAACCAAGGCAATGGCCACAGATTTTCTCAGTCACTGGACCAGAATTCCTGTAAGCCAAAACACAAGCCTAGTCCTGTGCTCAGGCTCCACGAACTGTCCACAAATGACATCAAGGCAGTGCCAGCAGAGCAAGGTTCCCCTTCTGGTTTCTCTGGGTGCCACAGGGCTGTCTCTGCCACTGCTGCTCACAATAGTGCTTCTTAACTATGCAATCTAACCCTGAAAAGCCATAATTTGAGACCATAATTTTCTGCAGAGGGCCTTTTTCAAATAAGCCCAGACTGACAAAACCAAGCGCCTTAAAGATGCAGCAAAATCACTTCATTACTGTTTCATGCATTTTATTTTAAAGGCCTATTAAGAACCCATTCTTTCTGGTGGAATGCTATTTTCATCTCCACTTTTTTTTCCTTTGAGAGCTTGAATATAAGATTTTCCTATCTCTGGCTTTTTTTTCTCATCTATTTGATCAATGATGATTCTTTTTTTTCTACGCTTCTAAGAGAGTTGACATTAAAATGTCTAATTCCTATTCTCTTTCTGTTGTGTTGGTGCATTGGAGTTATTCACAATGATGTCAGCTCAGCTCTGGGCATTGTCTCTGCTAGTTCAATTCCAGCTGAATCGCTGGAGCTAGCAGGACATTAGCATTCACTTGACTGATTGAGCATATCCAGAGAATAAGATGGGTTTTGCATTCAGCTACACACACGAAAAACTGAAGGAATTACAAAGCAATCCAAAGTTGGTAAGTTCTTTTGGAGTCACATATGTTTTGCTTCTCATGTATCTTCCTGTGCTTGAGGGCACCGTGTAAATAACAACCATTTCAATGCCAAGCCCTTTCTTGACATGGAAGAAAGAGGAAAGTGATTTAAAAGTATTGTTTGACATAGTTAATCAATTTAACAGATTTCGAGGCTAAAAGGTCATATTATGCATTATCTCCTATAAATACAGGAGAATTTCCTCCTATAATTCCAGAATTTTGTCCATTAACCAGAGAGAGCACTTCTTCAGAGGTAAATACTTCAGACTGAGTTTTGATATTAGTATTAATTATAAAGCCACTTTTTGGCTTTAAAACTTGCTTCCTTAGTCCGGTGCCTACCCCTGTGACAAGATCTTGGTGTTGTGTGTGGCTCAGGATGCACGTGACCTACGAAGGGTTCATGTCTTTCCAGATTCCAGATTTTGAGTGTGAAACTAAAGTGAAGAAGAGGATGCAGGGCAAAAATTTTGGAGGGGTGGCTAAGTTTGGCTCAGAAATCCATTTTCCTCCAAAAGAAGTGCTGAGCTGAGCAGGTCCCCATGAAGGAAATGAAGAAATCTTCCTGCTAACTCAAATCTACACCTGACTATGTTATGACTTCAGAACACGGATTCCCAAACCTTCCAACAACAGGGCTAAAAACCTCAGCAGACACATTGGTTCAGTTATGCCCTTTATGGGCTGAATGAAACAATGGAAGGACCGGGTATGTGACAGAACAGTAACACTTGGCCTCCTTAAAAGCCCTTTTCCTGCACTGTGTCTGTTTGTTCCAACGGGCTTTCAGCTATTCAAGGTGAGAGGTTGCAACCTTCAGACCATAACTACACTTGACCCCCTCTTCTGGTAGAATCAGATGGACAGCCAGAACCTGTGTGTTTTCCAGTAGCTTCAGCATTAAAAATACGTGGGCGATGTGACAACAAAGTCAGCTGCCCCAGTTCAAACTTACCTTTGCATTTCTCCTAACTGCAACTATGTATCTTCTGATTAGGGGTTCTTTCTGTATGACATATGGCTCAGCTGGTGTTTAACTGCTCAGGAACACCTGCAATAGCTCTGCCCTGGCTTCAGTTACCTGTTCTGAGTGCGACTGTGCAGCTCTGGCCTAGCCTCCCTGCTGCACATGCACACAACAGAGAGACAGATGAGTCTGCTTCTGAGACAGTGGACACTCATTTGTGATCATTAACGAGCAGTCCCCATGAAAGATGACAACTCATGTGTCAGCTGAAACATTTCGCATTAATTGGAACAAAGTTCCTCTCACATATATTTTGATAATAGCCAATCTCTCAGGGACATTCTGCACCACACAGTGAGAACATGTTAAATATCTTTCTTTGGAGGCAAGAAAGAGCACCAGAAGGCAAATGCAGCTGCAGCCAGCGAGGAAAGACAAACAGAAAACAGCAGGGGAACCGCTGTCTGTGGAGACAAGCAACGAGCCGTGGAGCTCCTCAGCTCTGTCAGCAGTGCAGATCCTGGCACAGGTCTGCAGGTTCCAAAGGCTGCTGTTTTTCCAGAGTGTGGTAGAGACCCTATAAAGGATTGGTAGGAAGTAAGGGATGAAACTGCCTCTAACAAACTTCTCCATGGACAGCAAATCAGTACTTAAAGCTGAAATCTGGTAATACTCTGTATGCCTACATACAGAGTGTTCTAATGGTTTCTAATATTCTAATACAAAACTAATGCAAGGCCATTTGCCATAATCTCAGAATTTTCCTGGTTCACTCCTACCGTGTGACTGAGCTTTCCTCACTTAACTTCCATCTTAGGTCTGGCCCTTCCTCAGTTGTGACATTTGGCTGGTTCCCGGACAATGGCAGAATGACTTCAAATACTTATCTCCTGAAGTTCTTAAAAACAGTTTCTTGTAGTAATTTGAGATGGAGAGTGTACAGGAATACACATGTCTAAAGGAGCTCCAGAATACTTACCAATGGCTGTTGTGAGACCTTATGCATTCCTATGCCATTTCAGTCCTTTTAACACCAACCAACAATTTCAAGCAACACAGAAGCCAGAGTGTCTCTCTGGGTTTCTAACGTGCTTTACATGCTGCTTAGACTTTCTCTTCACTTTGCTGCTGGATAAGAACAATGTTGAAAAGACATTAAAGTGACAGTCAAGATCTGTAGCTACATTAGTCATTCTGTCAGAACCCTGGAAAGAACCTCACTGAAGTCATGCAGGAAAACAATTTGTCGAAGCATCAGCTGAAGCAGTGAGTTGCGACTCATTCAAATCTCTCTGAAGCACACGATCAAGGAAACTGCTGAAGCCCTGAAAGCCACAATTGATTCTGCAAACAGGAGATACGTAAAACGAACTGAACTTGCCTCCAGCCTCTGGTATGTGATAACAATCTGAGTGTCCACCTATTTTATACCTTAAAAGCAGTCAAGTGGGAAAATATAGGATGAGTGATGTTCCCTTAGTGCAGTGACAGAACTACCCATACAAGCTGCCAGTACTTTCCTATCACCGTGTGTAATTGGTGTTTAGTTCCACTGAATGGAGCCATTCTGGACATGCACTGATCCATCTAAAGTAACTATTTCGTAGCATTTTTACCTGAACCCTGAGCAATGCTTCCCTAGGCCCAGAAGAGTTAAGCAATTGATGGTCTTACAGATCTTTTTGCCAAAGATAACATCCTTAAGCCTTGAAGTCTACGGTACAGCCATGAGCCTAAAAAAAAACACCTTTACCTAAATAACTGAGGGATCTGAGGAACTCAGACAGATGCCAGAAAATCCAGAGCAGCTCAGTTGTAAATTGACTTAAATAAAATCCACCAAGTTCATCCAATCAGGGAATACCATACAATATAGGGAAAACCCATATAGGACTTTATCCTAACCCTTGTGTTGGCCTAAGGGTACACCACTATCAGCTAATAAAGAGATAAAACATGTAAAAACTTTTTTTTTTTTCCCCAAGGGGATGGTGAAAAAGGGATCAAACTGTTGGTCAGTGATGTTTTTTCAAATTTGGTGTCACCTGTAAGTTCTAGAGAGACAATGTGTAGAAAGAGATTCAGACAATCTGGAGCTCAGGAACAATTATCACCAAAGGGAAAAAAAAAAATAAAGAAAAAAAAATAAAAAAAGGGAAAAAAAAAGGAGTAGAAAATGAAGTTTTGGCTTTACTCTGAATATTAACCATATTACCATGCTTCAAGCACAGTTTATTGTATTAGATGGGAAATTTAGGGCAGTATACCCAGGATTTGAACCTGGATATACTTGAGCTATCGATATACCTGATATCATATGATCCTGGATATACTGGATTTATTTGGATGTATTTGGGTTGATCCTGCGTGTGCTTTAGCCCTTTTGTTGGGGGTCCCTCCCCGGAGGCACCAGCTCGGGCTGTTTCTGTGTTACCGTGCCGTGAATAAACTGCATTATGGAACGAGACATCTGAGACTCTGCTGTGGGAAACCTAGGGCCGAGCCGGCGAGGAAACCCGGCCTGACTGTGCGAGTGGGGTGTGCGGGGGGGGCCAGGCGGGGGAGCCCCGGGTCACCGGGGCCGCCTCTGTGAGGGGGCTTCGGTCCCGGCAGTGCCAGAATTCGGCGTTGGGAGCGCGGCTCCGGGAGCGCCGCGGGGACACTCGAACTGGCAAGTTCCTTTCACAACCTCGCCGGCCCGGCAGGGTCGGGGCTCCTTCCCCGGGGGACACCGGGGACGCCCTGAGGGGGAGGCGCCTGAGGGGGGGGCGGGCGGGGCTGCGCGAGGGCTCCGCGAGGGCCCCGCGGTGCCCCCCGCTCGCCGCCAGGCGGCGCCCCCGTGCGGCGCGCGCTGGTCCCGTAGCGGCCGCGCGGCGCTTCCGGCGGCGCAGGAAGGGGCGGTGCGCGCGGCCCCGGTGAGGGCGGCGGGGGCGGCCCCGGGAGCGGCGGGACCGCGGGGGGCTCGGGGGGCTCCGGGAGCGGGGCGGGCGGGCTCAGGACTCCGGGAGAGCTCCCCGGGAGAGCGTGGGCCGCGATGTGGCCGCGGCGGGGTCGGGACCGCGCCATCGCGGCGGCTGAGGGGGGGCCGCGGCACAAAGCTCCCCCCCGCGGGGTCTGTGGCACTGTTAGGGGTACCCAGAGCCGCGACAAGGAGCCTCTTTATTGCCACCCGTTCCACCGGCCCCGTGCTGGTGCGGGAGGTCAGGGAACTGCTGCTTGGCTTGGAAACTGGAGAATGAATTAGAACCGTACGGGCTAGTGCCCTGGTGCACTTGATTCCTGTAAGGTCTCACGGTGCGTCTCTTTCCTAGGAAAAATGACTTCTGAAAGCAGCTCCTTCGTGAAGGGCATGGTGCTTGGAGGAGCCTTCTGCATGTTGGTTACACTGCTGGGACACATCAAGGTGGGGCACGGGACCAAAGCGCGAGACCACGAGCACCATCACATCCAGGCTCCCGACAAAGAGGATGTCTTAAACCTTTCTGAGGGTGAACGTATGGAGCTTAGTAAAAGTATCCGTGTTTACTGTATCATCCTTGTCAAACCGAAAGATCTGGGGCACTGGGCTGCAGCAAAGGAGACCTGGAGCAAGCACTGCGACAAGGCAGAGTTCTACAGCTCTGAAAATGTCAAAGTGTTCGACTCTGTGGCCCTCAACACAAAAGACATGTGGGTGATGATGAGAAAAGCTTACAAGATGACGTATGAACGTTACAAGGACGAATTCAGCTGGTTCTTCCTTGCGTATCCAACAACATTTGCTATTATTGAAAATCTCAAGTACTTCTTACTGAGAAAAGACCCCTCCCAGCCTTTTTACATCGGCCACGCTGTGAAATCTGGTGACCTCGAATACGTGGATGGCGAGGGAGGAATCGTGCTAAGCATCGAGTCACTGAGACGACTCTCCAGTGTTCTTGAAGACCCCAACAAGTGTCCGGAGCAGGGAGGTATGATTTGGAAGCTCGCCGAGGACAAGCAGCTGGCGATCTGCCTGAAGTACACAGGGGTGTTCGCCGAGAACGCGGAGGATTCGGAAGGCAAGGACGTCTTCAACACTAAATCCGTGGGCACCCTCATCAAGGAGGCCATGGGAACCCACCCGCAGCAGGTGGTGGACGGCTGCTGCTCCGACATGGCCATCACCTTCAGCGGGCTGAGCCCCAACCACATGCACGTGATGATGTACGGGGTGTACAGGCTGAGGCCCTACGGACACACTTACAGTGATGCCCTCGTGTTCTTGCCCCCGGAGGGCTCGGACAATGACTGAGGTGCCGCCAGGGCAGGGGTGCAGTCGGCTCATCTCGTTGGTACTGACGCGTGCTGGTGCTGCTGTACAGGTTGTTTTTGCACACTGAGGTTTGGTAAAAGCTCTTGATTTCAAAAGTGGAAGGAGAAATTTTTTTCTAACTCTTTTATACGGAAAAAAAACTTCTGGCTTTTGACAGAGCCGGAGTGAAATGATAAAAAGATATTGTTAATGTTTATAATGAAAGGGAATTGAATTTATAGGGGGGGGTTTGTACATGTAAATATTTACTAATGAAAATTCAAATGAAGTTTAGTCTACTCTTACAAATATATTTTTGCAAGACTTCGATTCTCTCAGTTCTTCCAGGCATTTCTAGAATGTCTTTATATCTTTCTAAGATGTACCAATAAAACTGACTACAGATTCAGTCTCAAAGACTAACTTTAAGACATTTCTTTTACTCTCAACTACACAATACCTTGAGCTACATTGTTTTATGCAGCTGTTGCTGCTTTATGCTCAGCCTCCTAACCCAGTGAGGAATTATCAGGAAGCAAAGTGGCAAGAAATCCTTTAGGAAGTTGCAGCATAATCATATCAAGTGCCCTTTGGACTGCTGTTTCTAAGCAGACAAAAGAAAGAGATAACTGTATTTGAGTAAGTATTAATATGGTCAGGGAGCCTGTTTGCACAAGAGTAATTGCTCATTTAAAATTTCACTCCACCTTTAAGTGTATTAGAATACAGATTTGGTGGTGTTCCCACTCCTGTGAGTGGTACTAATAGTGTTTAGAAGGAAGAAGATGGTTAATTGTCAGTAAAAATGTAGTTTGGATACATTTATAGAGGCTTTTAACACCAGGAGGCAGAAAGATCAGCACGAGCTTGCACTCCCACCCTTGGAACTTTATGCAACGCAGGTAACACAACAAAGCAACCTGCAGATCTCCCCCATAATGGGGTTGAGGGGGACTGTGGTGGGGTTTGAGTTTGTTGTTACAGATTTGGGGGGTCGTTTTCAGGTTGGGTCTTTTGGGTTTGTTTGGGTTTTTTTGTTTTTGTTTGTTTGTTTGGGGTTTTTTGTTTGTTTTTACAAATGAGGCTCAAGTCACTGGGTCACACTCCCTTCCCCTCACAGCGCCTCCAAATAAACAGCACTTCAGTATTTACTCCATTTAGAGTTCACTGACCTGACATGGGTGTTCCAAGACTTAAGGAAGGTACTACATCCATCTGCTGCATCTAGGACTGTCACAGGCTTTGCTGGCACTACAATATTCATAAAACACATATGAAGATAGTGTTATCTCACCTTTAACAGATTGTTTTACCACCCTACCCTGAGCTGCAAGGGGGCAGGTGGGAAAGTGAAACAGCTGCTTCAAATTGTTGAGAATATCCACATTTTGTTTTTTTGTTTTAAGCATCAAGTCCTTCCTTTTTGACAAGAAGGGTAAGACAACTGCTGAAACTCCCTGACAAGCTCCCACAGCTCAGCTGTTTCAGAATGTGCAAAAGGTGAGGCAAGATGCACCTTCTCGTCCTGTCAGTCAGAATAACATATAAAGGTTAGACTCCCACTGTTGGGAATACTCTGACAAAACCAGATAAAGAAAGTAAAATTTTGATTTCAGTGTTTCTGATATTTAGGACAGTTCTGACCCCCCCACAACAGCAGTCATAGAAGAAAGGATGGCAGTGAACAATTCAAATGAGAATAAATCTCATTTGTCACAGATTTGAGAGGTACTGTAAAACAACAGGAGGAAACCATGCAAAGGGAAAAAGCCACAGAACACAAGGCTAGCTTGTTTGACAAAGAAAAATAAAACCACTGATGCACAAGCTGATTTCACATAGCACTAACCAGGAATTAGTACATTCATAGTGGGATCTTTAAGATGCATAAAAATGTTCATCAGTATTCTGAAGGTGTGAGGTTTGATGAAACTTTTTCTGCTACACTGCTTAAATTTTGTCTTCCTGATAGTTTCAGATTTACCCCGTCATTTTCAGAAACACAATCTCATAAATAAACTTACAGAAGAAATTTTAAAGTAGCACATATTAGGTAATACATTCCATCTCCCATGTTTTAATTTTGCTTTAGAATCAGATAGAGAACTCCTTGGCCACTCTCTTCCATGAAGGTCCCAGGGTGGGGAAAGGAAACATGCAGAACAGCACCGAGACAAGGCACGGGCCCACAAAATCACATTCTGCCATTGCACAATGCATGTGTTGGAATAGAGACGTGAAATATTAATAAATGCTCCCAGAGACAGTTATGAGTGGTAGACCTTAAGGTTTCCTTAGTTTATTACATGATTCCATTTTTCCATAGGCATAGCTTTGGGTATGCAGTTGCTAAACAAAGGACTGGGTATCCAGACAAACACACAGTGCTGCTGACCCCAATCTGTAGCTGTAGGTACGTGTGGCAGTGTGCACAAGCTGAGATCTCTTGAACTTCCACCTGAAGAAGCTGCTCCTGGCTACACTGATAACCATGTTTTTCTATCATGCCCTTATTTAACAGTGGTTTTGCTTCTGCTCCTAAAATAAGGCTGCAAACGGGGAGTAGAGAGCGTGAGGCACCGGGGTGGACACGCTCCGTTGGGAGCCTGCCCAGCGTTACTGTCAACTCCACTACAGGGAGAGCAAGAGCAAAGTGCTGGCAGGGACAAATATCAACACAGCTGTAACTCTTCAGATATGAACCAGCATAAGAGGATTTCTAGTCCACGTTACCAGTCTAAGTTCATAAATCCTATACAGATAAATGCATATTAAAAAGAGGAAAATCCTTAAGTAAAATGAAGTTAATGCTGTTAATAAATTAAAAAAAAAAAAAAAAGTCAAAAAAAATTACTCCTCCACATTCAAGGAACACGTAGACTAACAAGATGTTAATCAGAAGAAAAAAATCTGAAATGTTTCAGAGGTTTTATAAACTGTATTTATATTTCACACACACTTTAAATTACTCTTTTAAAAGAGCAAAAAAATGTAAACATTTCTTGGCTTTTTCCTCCTTTCTGTTTGAAATAGTCTACTCACAGTCCATGCAGAATCTTTCCACCAGGTATCTTCAGTCACTGAAGACTTGGGTTTAAGACAAAACAAAATAACTGTAATAAAAAGAAATCTAGAAAACTATTGTAGCCTAACAGTACTTTTGCATTCACTTGATTTATTTAGCATAGCCACAGAACAAAATAATTTGTACATTCAGTCACATTAAAAACAAGGAATTACAAAGCAGTCCACATTTAATCTAAGTGCATTCCTTTGGAGTAACAGTTCCTTTTGTTTCATTTATATGTCTTCATATGCCAAAGGCCATCATTTAAATAGTGGATATTTTCAATACCAATCCCTTTGTTGACCTTCTCACTGTGGAAGGAGGAAAAAGGTACAAAAGTATTAGATAGGTTAAATATTAGAGCAGTATAAAATATAATATTTTAAGTGGAAAGTGCAACATTTGTCAGCTGGAAGGGGAAAAGCTAATAATCACAAAGTCATTATCTTCAACAGCATGTGGACAAGAAACAATATTTGTTATTACGTTTGCCCACACTGCTGACTGATAAGAGGACAATATTTGCCTTCCACGTTTTGTCAACAGCCTTTGGTACTTCTTTATGGGAGACAGTTCTTCAGACTTCTGCCACTTTTTTAATTTTAGCATTTCTCTACCAAAGTAGCACAGTAGTTGTGAGTCTCCCCCTCCCAGCACAAGAGGTGGTACAGCATGACTGGAATGTGAAATTTGACAAGTTCTGGTTCCAAGTGTGCCACCAACACAATCAAACACAGGTGAGCTGCCTTGCTGCTGGTTGCAGGTCACCTACCCACTTAAGAAAGAATTAAAAGTGCTAAATTTCTGTGCCAAGGACTTGCAGCATGTTACAAACATACTCTGTAGTACTGACTCTGTATCTTTTGAGTCGTGTTATCTGCTAAAAATTATTACTCTATGTGTCTGCATTGAATTTATGTTTATCATTTTTCCAGTACATTATTCCACCAAAAAAGGTAAAAATCTAGTTTTGTCACCATAAACAAGACGTTCTAGGAGTGAGAAAAAGTTTCATTCCCCTGACGGATATAATTTACTGTATTTACACCAAGTGTTTTATTACTTAAACAGCTTATCCAAAAGTAATCAGGAAGGAAAATGCCGATAAACCAGAATTGACATATTAAGTGTTGTAATCACACCAAGAGACTGAAATCACACCGTTCCACAATTTTCTGGTTTAACCAATGTCACACAAAGAAGCAGCCAACAGGCTGCAGAGATCAGTATCACTTTGTTTTCCTCTCCAGTTCATGTTGCTTCTCACAGGAACAGGATATTCAGCTGTGAGGCTGCTGAATCCCAAGTTAGGATAAGGAATATAGAGAAGCTCGGCTTGCAGTGATCACAGCACATCACTGCAGACTCTGGGCTGGGACACTTCAGTAGCTTTTCTTTCCACTTACTCTTGGTGTCTTTTGAATCACTACAAAGAATCCTGAGAGATGTAATTTCTCAACAGCTACAGCAGGTCCAAATCCAGGTTGCTCCGGTCCCACTCTATCCCTGACCTCTGTAACACATTCCATCTCTCCTTGTGCTGCTACCGTTATGACTTGGGACCACAGAGTCACCCAGCACAGGAGATGATCCTGCTGAGCATTATCCCCACAAAAAAGAGTGACTTGTTTGCATCAAAATCAGCTTCCTCACTGCCACAAAGGGCAGACAGGGCTGTAACCCCAGCCCAAACCCACTGGGTGCTCCTCACATCCTGCTGCAAGACCTTACAGAACTTAAAACGACAAGGTGATTTAGCTACTTACAATATTGCACTGTGTGAAAGCCAAGAACAACTAGCACCCATTTCTGTTTTCTATCCCTTTGCCTTCTCAAATAATTTTCAGTTTATCCCCTGAACAGACCTCTGCATTTCACAAGAAGCTCAGATAGGCCAGTCAGCACATCAAGCAGGAATGCTGCACGTGGGTACAGGGCAGGCCACAGAGGAAAACCCAGACAGGCAGCCAAACACCAGCATGATTTCAGTCTCCCCGTCCCTGCACACAAAAATCACTTCACCATTTTCAATCCTCTCAAATCCAAACTGCATCTCTTGCCCAGCCCAGGTACTTGATACAAATACGTCTTTGTTCATGAGATCTTTGACAAAGTATGATTGAGCTCTAGAAATACCAACATTCAGCAGTGAATGTTGAGCACCTTAAAATCCACATTCACATGAAAAGAACTATTTGGATTCAAATAAGTACAGAAGATACTCTCTGCCTTCTCTTCTTTCCCTGACTACCAATCAACAAAACATAATCTTAAAAAACTCTTGTACTTAAACAGCACATGCTGCAACAGTGATGCAGTAACCTTGACAGTGGCACTTATATTCCAAACTAACCTAAGAATAATGACATGGTACAGGTTATATTTCATTTTTTAAAACACTTACATGTCCTCAGCTGACATCTTCATTACTCCCACACATAATGCATGTTGTTTTCCCTCTGCCATTATTGCCTACAAATTACTGCTAAGGAAAACAGATTTCTTTTTAAACTATTTGAGAAAAGGAAAAGCAATATGAAGAAACGACTTCCAAAACACTTTCAAAAGCCCACGTTGAACTTTTACCCTTTCAGTAATTCTAAAGCTGCAGCTCTTAAAGATAAGTAAAACAATGCACTGCATTTAACAACTGAATCACAGTGTGTAGAACAAAGCACGTATTTATGAACTTGGAACAGCAATTACAGAAAAAAAAATCTCCCAGCACTACACTCCATGTCTTCCTTTGTGCCTAACACAGAGATGACAATCTCTCCTTTCTGGAACAAAATGGCACATGTTTCTGGGGCCATTTCAGATTCCAAGGCACAGAAGAATTGGGACACAAATTTAAAAGACCAGAAGCACTGAAATCAGATGTGTCTTTCTCAAAGTTTAGCAACACATGGTGCCAACAGCTGATCTTTTCCTACAGCATCTATCTAACAACACAATCAGCACATCTTGGTTTTATTAATGTTGTATTTGCTTAGGGTTTCCTTTCTCAGTAACATAATGAGGAGTGAATTAGCACTTTCCTCATTTTACACTTGCTAACTTCATCAGACACATAGAGCAAGTCCTGACACAGTAAAGCTGATCCCTGACATCTTTCCAAATTCCCCAGGATCAGGAGAGAATTCTTCTTTAACTGAAGGGAACAGAAGATTGACTATGGAGGCGGGGACAAATTACACTGCACCTCATCTACTTTTACAGTTCTGCATAAAATCACCAAGGAGCTCCACTTACCAAGGAGATTAATGGATCAGCAGCCCACCCAACAGTACAGCAGGAGCATCACAGTAAGTAAAAATATAAGAACAATGTAACCTTGCCAAATAACACCTAAACCTCTGCAGCTCTTTTCTGATTACCAGATATTTCATGAAATCCGATTAAAATCCAAAGTAATCCAGATTATGGTCAGATGAGAATACAAGAACAGAAATTTAACTCGTCTCACAGTAGGCAATTCACAGTTAAAGAAGGATACGACGACAGTATCGACAGCAGCAGGGTAAAGCTTTGCTCCAGGAGACGTCAGACCAGGGCACATTATATTGGCTCCACTTAGGACAAATTTAATGGCGCCTTTATCAACCTGCTGATGTGGCAGAATAAATGGGTCTAGGAGGGGAAAGATACAGCATTGCAATTAATACAGGGAGATGACAACATGAATAACTCATTATCAAATCAGTTTAGAGGGGTCAATTAGATATACAGTGTGCTGTGAGGGCAGAAAGTTTGACAGTCAATCACCAGGGCTGCTGCTGGGCTGTACTGTCCCAAAAGGACACAAGTGCTGTCCCAAAAGGACACAAGTGCTGTCCCAAAAGGACACAAGTGCTGTCCCAAAAGGACACAAGTGCTGTCCCAAAAGGACACAAGTGCTGTCCCAAAAGGACACAAGTGCTGTCCCAAATCCAGCACTAGAGGCCTGTGCCTCCTGCACATTCATAGACCCACATACTGAGTAACAATTTGAACGAGTTCCCACAGGGAAAACAATCTCCCAAGTCCCCAGATACTCAGACGTCTTTAAAAAAAGGGGTCTAAAACCCCTCAAATGTGACAGAGAAACAGGTTAATGTTAAGAGGAAAAAAAAAAAGGAAAAAATAGACAAAATTCCTGAAAGCTGTCAGCTCTCCAAGCCATCCTTCAAGGCACCCCCTTGAAGTATTTCTAACACTGAGATTTGACTAAATAACTTTTTTAAGATTTAAATCAGAGTAAAACAATCAAGCAGAACAGCAAGAAAAGCAATGCAAATGTAAATTGTAAAAAGTAAAAAGCATGCAGCCTAAGTTCCTACAGGAGGCAAGTGCACTTTACATCATTAAACCCATTACAGATCACAGAATATTTTTTTCATCCTTCTCTTCCCAGCACTTCCACCCTCAGAAAACTTACATTTGTGAAGCAACCTTAGCGTGGGGTAAAAAATTCCTTCTCTTTGCCTGAAGAACAGCAACTCCCCATTCACAGTGAGGATTTCTATATGTTCATGACTGCAAGATTAAAAAGTAATTATTCCAATAGCTACTTAAATCCTTCTATAGTTTAAATAAATATATCACTTCACATTCTGATCTATCTTGGCACCTGAGAACTAAGACAGTCAATTAGCAAGAAAATATAAAACTAAAAATATTATCTTTTTGCATGGCTTATTCTTCAACAATGGTCTCCTGTTCACTTCCTTCCCCTTCAAAAAAAAAATCTACAAAATGCACAAATTGCATTTCTTTGGGATTTTTGAATGTAGTGCAAAGGGTGGATAAGGAGAAAGAGCAAAAAACCTTCTACCTAGAAAAAAATAACTTAGATAATATATGGAAGCCCAAAAATTGTAAAATATATTACTGGAAGGTATCCAAACAAGTCTGAGCTTCCATATCCATAAAGCTGAATGTTTCCCTTCAACAACAGGCTAATCCTTGGGCAGTGCCTGAACACACTGCACATTCACTGCAGGCAGCAGTTTAACGTTCTTCAAGCATCCTACGACAGCACATGCCTTCAAGAGCATGAGACGAGCACATGTAAACTTTCTGGTTTGGTCATAACACAGACTATTAGCTATTCAGATATGATAGAAGCCTTTCAAAAACAGTACGTTAATCTACTCTACAAAGTCGACACATAAGGGAAGCACCTTAAAAGCAAAGCTCAAGAGAGAAGAAACTTACCATCTTACTATTTTGACTGGGTCTTTCTTTGGCATGATTTGGTTTAGCCATGGTTCAATAACAGGAAACTGGTCTATCAGTTGATTCTTGATACCTTTAATAACTGAAGTCTTCAGCTGGATACAGTTTGATACATTCTCCTTTTCATCAAATCTGTAAAGTGAGTGAAAGTTTTTCAGAAATGCACAATTTAATGCCAAACGATGCCATATCTCTGCAGCATTCTTCAGGAATTTTTATAAACTCACTATAGAACAGCACATCAACTGTCCAACTTTCAAATCCAGGATTTCATGAGACTTAAATCTGTCTCCTGGGAATACCGGGCAGAGGGGTGGTAGGGCAGCCCCACCAGTAGGCTGTCTTCATCCCTAAACTTTGTGAATGCCCACAAAACGTGTTTAGCCTCACAGACACGACCTGGTACACAGTCTTATTTCGCTCAACTCCAAGAGCACTTTGCTGGCAACACAAACACCCAGAGACCCATTGGGATGCGAGCCCCTCATCTGCACCATGTAAGTACGAAGGGCGCTTCGAGCCACCCCGAAGTTAAGACAAGTTAATGACTCAGCTCCCTCCGGAGGGTTTCCCATTTAACAACCGAGTGCCCGAGGCAGAGCCGGGGACGCGCTGCCCGAGGAGGCCGCGGGGCCGCTCCCGAGCAGGGCCGAGCCCGGGGCTGAGGGGGCGCCGGGCCCGCCGGACCCTTCCCCTTCCCTCCCCCTTCCCCCGGCCCCGGCCGCACTCACTTCTTGAACATCCTGCGGGCGGAGGGCGCCGGGCGGGGGCCGGGGCCGGGCTCCCACCGCCTCGGCGCTGCTCACACGCGGCTCCGGCCGGGCCGTGCCTCGCTCCGCGCCCGCCGGAAGCGCCGCTCCATCCCCGCGGAACGGGCGGGGCTCCGGCAGCGCCTCCCCGAGCGCCGCCGGCACCGGCCCTGCCCCTGCCCCTGCCCGCGGGGACCCGCACGGCGCTGCCTCCGCACAACAAACCCGTTCGACAGAATATCGGAGTGCTCGTAGGTACTGACGCCATTGAAACACAAAACGTGGTGAACGGGAAGAAAACGCTGACACCTGCAAACTAGCAGAGAGGCAGGAGCTCTCGACCCGCCAGCTTCAGAACAGAACACGCGATCCTGCCACCAGCATTCTGGAAAGAAAAAGGAAAAAAAAACAAACAAACAAACAAACAAACAAACAACAACAACAAAAAAAAAACCCTCCCTGAGGCCGGCCAGGGAGTCAGTCACAGGTGACAGTACCCCAGCCTTCAGTAGGGAGTGGGAGCAGAAGCCTGGTTTGCAGAGAAGATTTCAGGTGCCAGGCAGAGAGATGGGCTGTGGTAGAGACAATTATGCTCTACAGTGTTTATTAGAATCACATTAGGTTTTGCTTGGTGATGGCTCCAGCAATCGTGAACAGAAAACCGCAGACAGAGGTAATTTACCACACTGCTTTTTCACTGAGGAGCAGACATGCATGTGTTTGTTCTCTAGGCAAGTGGCTATCCTTGCTTTTTGGAGTCATGGAAATGTTACCACTGGCATAAAGGGAAGGGAGGAGAGGACATAAAACACCAGGTTACCATTATACCAACAACCAAGTTCTTTTTTCCATAGAAAATTATTAAATCACCTTTGATACTAAAGCAAGTAATTAAAACCTAAGAGTTATAGCAGTCATACAAAGTAAAATCAAGTTTTATATGTGGTATCATCTATTCAACTAATGAAGTACAGCGTCAGGAACACATTAATAACTTTTTAAGAGTATGGGAATGAACTGTGGCATTACATAAATAGTCAGGCATTTCACTCATGAACACCACCTCCACCTACTTTGTAACATCACTAAAAATACTGAGTTATAATCAAGAATTCAGTTATAACTGAAACACAGTGACACTGCTCATGCCCAGATTAGAAAGTGAGAACATTTATCACACTGACAAACTATTTCATGGATTTTTGGTGCTCCTCAGAAAAATCTTCATTAAATAATACTTTGCCATGTAAACAATCACATTTTTAAAAACTGTAGTGAAAAATTCATCATGCTTCCACCTCAGATGTTGGACAAAAAAGACAAAATTCTACCCTTCCTGAGGAATATGGCACATCTCACTGTAACTGCCTGAGCAACTGTTTTCATGCCTGCCTAAACAAGATTAGTCCCTAATTTTCAAAAATGACATTTGTCAACAGGAAGGCCTTACCTCCATTCTTTTACTACCTTAAAGCACTTGGATCACTGGTTCCCTTCAGAGCTGAGCTAACGTCGAGTCTGGTCTCAACTTTTCCATGTACTCTTCCAAGTATTTTTTGCTGATGTAGCTGCAGACTTCAGGGCCAGGTAACGGCTCACCCAATCTAAAAGTGCTTGTACAGAGAATTTTTAAAGAAGGCTCCAAGGACCTGGACAGCTCTCAGTGTTACTGTTCAGCCTCACCACCAAGAAGCTGCAGACATTTGCTCTGGTTGCAGTGTCACTTTTAAGTACAAAAATTTTAAAAGCACTTTTCCTGGACAGGATTGACAAAGCAAGGGGCACATCCAGTAAATGGCTTTATGACCCTTCCAGCCTTGAGAGAAACCACCCCTCAGGACACATGCTAAATAGAAAGGATTTAGAATCTCTCCCCCCATAAGTTTCAGTAGAAAAAGAGGAAAATCCATACACCTGGTTTCTTCTTGAATTCCCAGCACTTTATGTTACAGTTACCTGCTCTTCCATATCCCAGAGCTGCATATTCTGACTGATGGGACACAGTCATTGACTCTTAGACAGGATAATCCTTTTGCACCTCCAGGAAAAGGTAGGCACTTAATCACGTCTCCTCTTTTTTAAATCCAGTCCTTTCAACAAACCAAGAAACTGTAGAAATTTTGTCTCTCTTACAGCTCTACGCTTCTTACCTAATTTGGCTTAAGTGAACATGACACTGTGAACAGAGGAAAACTTTACAGCATAGTCATATTTTATTTACTTAGCAAACCTGTTTATTTCTGTTATATCCGACTTGGAATGTAAGGTATTAGCCTTGGGAACCCACGGACTGTTCTAAAGCCAGTCAAAACCAGACTTAAGCTTTGTTTTGCTGATTTTTTTTTTTTTTTAATCTGGAAAAAATACTTTTCTACACATCACTAGCATTACATTCCAGGCCTCAGTTGTCTGACAGTGACTCAGTGATAAAACATGCTCCAGAAAAACCTCAGTAACATCACATTCCTATCTCTATGCGCCACAGTTTCTGTCAAGACAAGTTACTGTATCTTTTCCTATCAAACACAGAAGTGCCACCAGCCTTCCCCTGAGGAGCTCTGCTTGTCAGGCGGGCAGGTGTGTGCTCTCTGCTGAAATCCTTGGAGAACCTCCTGGAACAAAAACCTCATCGCCTGGTTTGTTACGCTTTCAACAGCCATTTCTCAACGGCGTTTGAATCATAACAACGTTCCCGGGGAGTTCACGGCCCTCTTTGGTAACAGATCCACCAGCATCAAAAAAAAAAAAAAAAAAAAAAAAAAAAAAAAAAAAAAAAAAAAAAAAAAAAAAAAAAAAAAAAAAAAAAAAAAAAAAAAAAAAAAAAAAAAAAAAAAAAAAAAAAAAAAAAAAAAAAAAAAAAAAAAAAAAAAAAAAAAAAAAAAAAAAAAAAAAAAAAAAAGAGACTCTGAAGGGCCACGACTTCTGTATTTGCTTCCAAATCTTTAAAAAACAACAACCACAAAATACTAGGCCCGATGCAAGTCTGTATATATTAAAGTCATACGAAAAAGCTGATGCTAAATGATTCTTTATAAATACGTGTAAGAAAACCCATTTCCATTAACAGGCCGAGGGCTCCGGGGCCAGGCTCCAGCGAACCCCACCGTGCACCGCCGCGACCGCGGCTCCCGCGGGAGGACGGGCCAGGTGAGGGGCAGGGAACCGCCCCGGCTGAGGGCAGGGCAGGGCGGGACCCCAGTACGACACCCCACAACCCCTCCACCCTGAACGAGCCCGCCAGCACGGCGATAACGAGCCAGGATCAGTTCCGGCAAGTCCCGGGGCGGGTCCCAGGGCGGTCCCTGAGGCGGTTCCCCGGTCCCTGGGCGGGTCCCGGGGCGGTCCCTGAGGCGGTTCCCCGGTCCCTGGGCGGGTCCCGGGGCGGTCCCTGAGGCGGTTCCCCGGCCCCGGGGCTGTCCCCGAGGCGGTCCCCCGGTGCCGGGGCGGGTCCCGGGGCGGTCCCTGAGGCGGTTCCCCGGCCCCGGGGCGGTCCCCGAGGCGGTCCCCCGGTGCCGGGGCGGGTCCCGGGGCGGTCCCTGAGGCGGTTCCCCGGCCCCGGGGCGGTCCCCGAGGCGGTTCCCCGGTGCCGGGGCGGGTCCCGGGGCGGTCCCCGAGGCGGTTCCCCGGTGCCGGGGCGGGTCCCGGGGCGGTCCCTGAGGCGGTCCCCCGGTGCCGGGGCGGGTCCCGCCGCCTCCCCGGCCGCGCTTCCGTGCGCCGCGCCCCGTCATGCACGGCGGGCGGATGCGCCGCCATCTTTGCGCTGCCTCCGCCGTGCGGTGACAATAACAACCGGCCGGGCCGGCCCCCTCAGCAGCCAGCACAGCCCGAGAGGGGCGAGCGGGGCCCGAGCGCTGCGGCCGCGGGGCAGAGCGGGAGCCGTGCGGGGCCCGGGGGCTGGAGCCGAGGCGAGAGGGAGCCGCGCTCAGCCCGCCCCGCTGCTGCTCGGCGGAGACGAGGCGGCCGGAGCAGGAGGGGATCGCGAGGAGGAGCCGGGGGAGCGGGCGGCCGAGGGCGTTCCGCTGCCGGACAGCACAGCCCGGAGGAGCTGGTGGGGGGCGAGAGGCAGGAACGGAGGCGCTCCGCTGAGGAAGGAGGGGAAGCAGGAAGGCACAGGCAAACTACGAGAAGAAACAAAGTATTAAAGAGAAGGGGAAGAGGAGATTAAGTGATTACTCCGACAAAGAAGAACGAGAAGGAGGGGGAATACGGAAGGACTCCACTGATGAGAGACAGGAGTTGAAAGACCCCCCCCCCGAGAGACAACAGACAGAGACTGACTCTAAAACTCTCTCCTCTTTGTCACACCACAAGGATTTGATGCCCCTCAGCCTGTTCACTTCTGTGTGTTCATGTTTCCCACAGGTTTCTCTTCCCCCAACCCCCCAGCTGCAGCCCAGGAGGTCAGACCTGCCACTGATGGTAACACCAGCAGCAGCTCCTCCTGCAAGAAGAGAAAGTTAAATAACAGCAGCAACAGCAATTCCGAAAAAGAAGAATTTGATTCCATTTCCTCCTGCACCTCTTCTCCTTCCAAAAACACCTCCTCGTCATCCTCCTCCGTCATCACCACCTCCTCGTGCTCCTCCTCAGGGCTTGCTTCCTCCAACCATCACCTCCAGAAGAAGCTGCGCTTTGAGGACTCCGTGGATTTTATTGGACTCGATGTGAAGATGGCTGAAGAGTCTTCTTCCTCCTCCTCTCCTGCTGCCTCTTCCCAGCAGCAGCACCAACAGCAGCTCAAAAATAAAAGCCTTTTAATTTCGTCAGTGGCTGTGGGGCACCATGCAAATGGCCTGACCAAAGCTGCCTCCTCTACTGTTTCCAGTTTCGCCAACAGTAAACCTGGCTCTGCTAAGAAATTAGTGATCAAGAACTTTAAAGGTAACAGGCCATCATTTGTCACAACTTAGGGGGAGCTGACACTCGACTTCATGTTTTGTTTTCAGCCTGAAAACCGGTTCCTTTCAGATAGCTCCAGGTTTTACAGGACAGGCTTTTCTGTGGCAAACATTTCTGTACTTATGTTAAGGAGAAGAATGTTTTCTGGTGTGTGCTTGCCCAGTCATGTATACATCCTGAGCTACACTTTGCTGCTTGGAATTATCTTTCAGGCTCC